CGAAGCAGTCGAGAAGAAACCATAAAAGCCAAAATATTGTATATTATTTTGAGTGTAACAAAATTTTAAACGATTTTATTTTAACAAAGAAGATTATAATTTGGTATGTTTACGCTGAGCTGACATTTTCGAAATACAAAACAAATACAATATTTGTTCTACAAATTAAATTTGTATTTTTATGTGTTTCTACTACTGCGGCTCCTAGCTGCATTGTGTACCATAAACTGGCATCCTTTATTTTCATTTCTAAAGGAAAAAGTTACAAAAAGCGTTTTAATTGAAAAAGTTTACAGCTTTCCTAGTTTAATTGAATTTTTCACTTTTCAGTTGTACGTTTACGATTGTAGGATGACTTATTTTTTACCTTATAGATCTGAATTTATTGAGTCTGGCATATGGATTTACATATGTATCCTTCAAATGCTAAAGAATACCTTATATATTTATAAATATTTTTATTTAAGTGACTAAATTGTTAAATTCTCGAGAAAATAATTGGTTTTGACACACATAAGGTAACATTATAACACAAATGCATACCATTTGTGAAGAGTACTATCCACCAAATGATACATGCACGTCATATCATCACCTTCTGATAATTACTTTACAACTGACAGTGGTCTCTTTTGTTTTACGTGATTTCCTGCCATCTAGGCTCAACATCACGGTGCTCTTGGAATAGTCTGCTCTATTCCGCCGGTACCAATGAAGAAATTCATGCAAGTTATAACTTCCACCTTGGTAAGATGCGAGGCCTACCTACTGACCTCTGCTACAATTTGAGCTGCAGCACCCGGTTTGAAACGCACACCACGACGAATGAATGACAAGCAAAACATTCTTCCCGCTTATGTTTGGGTATTAACCACAACCACTTCGAAGCCAACACCAATGGTCAGTATAGCCGAAGCTGTCGGGCCACTAACCCCCGAAGTACCATATAGTATCATCTCTGGTCAGATGTCGCAAGTTGCCGCCCATAACTTACTACCATTTGCACTTCTTGCATAAGTGCCAGACTGGCACTTAGTGATAATAGTCGCCTCTTACGACAGGCCATCCTAACCGCGGGAGTATTCTTTTCCCCTCTCCCCAGGGAAATTTAAGTTGACAGTGGTTTAGGTGACCACAGTTTTGTAATTTTCGAGACAAATGATACAAAAAAAATGTCATACATTGTCAGGATAAATACTCTTGTAGCCCAACAGTGACTTCATAACCAATATGAAAACTCTACATCATGGCAATTCATTATTATTAACTTGACTTATTGACTTGAGTATAGAAGCGATCGTAGCAATACTTATAATGTTGAGAATTTTATTCCACTAAAATCGAGAGCAATTTCAAAAAACAAACAGAGTTACATAAAAGAATTTATGAACCATACAGTGAAGTTCTAGGTCATCAACTACGATTGACCAATATAGTAAATTTAAACACGTTTGTACAAAGACATATATAAAAGACCCACATTTGACTCAAGCAAAACCATCAGTTATTTCCAAGAACATAAAAACGTTCGTGGTTTTGAAATGGAACCCGTACCCTCATAATACAATTGGAGATCTGTACATCAGTTGATATTAAAACTAAGGATAGTTAACTATTATATGAAAGGGAAGAGTATACCGCCATTCAGATACTGTACAATTAACCAATTAACATATACTCAACTAGTGGGATCTAACCTACTACACACCTCACTGGCACCTCGCCCATACTTTTTGGCTTATATAAACCGGGTCCACTAGGTATTAAGGTTCTTACTCATATTCCCCTAATTATTGGAATGAAGATTCTACATTGTTATAGAAATCATCTTCATTCATTCCAAAGACATAGTCTTAGTGAGTTCAAGTCTCACAATGTGGCTTTTGATGCTTTCCGTCTACTGTAAAGAAAAACTATTTGGATTTACTTTAGAAGCTTTTTAAGTGAAATTGGGTATCAGAACGGCCAATTATTAGTTACGGAATAGTATTTATTTATCGTTTACTACAACTAACCAAACAATTTATATACATAATATGTTTGTATAAAGTAATTTGAATCCGGAGTGTAGCTAGCTTGATTCATATTAGCATTCTGAACTGAGATTAATATACCTTGTAGAGTCTGTTATGTTTTACAAGCATCTTAACGATCTTAAAATAGTCATTTTAATAAAATAATTTTTAAGTACAGAAATAATGATACTCGAAATTCGTTCATTATTATGTTAAGCCTTTTCCTTTTACTCTATGATAGCTGGGGGGATTCTGCAGAGTCCCACCCACCTCACTGACTTATTTGAGTATTCCTGATAATCTTCGTGATTATTCAATGATTGATCTAAAATCTGCGTACCGCACCGTGCGGTTAGTGATTACTCTGAGATTAAATAGTGCTAAGTAGAGCAGCACTATATAGCTTCAGAGCTCTGTCTCTTATGTATCCCTTATGTTTTTGACCTATTCTAAGATATCTTAACATGTCATTCGTGCGGATGTACCATGATACTTTAAAGAACCTTCGGAGAGTCTGACTTTGAGCAACTTTTAGTTTTTGAATAGTAATGGGCTGGTCTAATTATCTGACTATAGATCAGCTTTCTGTTCTTCACGCTAAGATTGTTGTGTTTGAAAAGTGGTTGTGAGCAGTGCAGTGTTTTTGCGCAACTACTTCTTTTGACTTGCATGTGCTTGTGCCAAGTGAACCGCTTATCAAATGTGATTCCTAAGTATTTAATGCTGTCCTCCCAATTAATCGCGATGTCACCGACTTTCACTCTCGGTGGATTACTAATAATAAATAGGGATTTAGTTTTCTCATTGTTAATTTTTATTTTCCATTTCTGGAAGAACTCCAGAATGAGATTACAATGCTCCTGCAGCGTGTTGGTCACATTTCTGGCAAATGGAATATTTCCACATATGTACAATATTAAATTATTTTTATATTATTTGCATTTCAATTATACTATACCAGAATGAAAACATTTTAATTTACAATTTATATTGTCATTGTTTAATAAATTTAATTTAACACATATAAGCTATAAAAATACCAATTCCAATTAATTTGAAACAATTTCGAATGAATATTTAAGTTATATGTAAAACATAATTAAAATACAATACATGTGCCAGTAGAGAACTAGAAAAGGAACCAAAAATACTAATAGTTAAAGCAAATAATACTGATTACTAATTTCATTTAGAAGCAGAAATGTCCTAATTTCTTAATTAAACATAGAAAATGCATTTACAAGTAAATATGCAAAATATATTCATTCATTCATTTTCTACCCAATTAATTTTCAATTTCTGAACTTAACAAATCCATTGTCAAATATTTTCGTTTATTGCCAAAAATTCTCTATAATACCAAGAAGCTTAAAATATCTTAACATTTATTTTATTTTATTTTATTTTGGACAATAAATAAAGCAAGGCATATACTTTTGGTCCAGAGCTACCAACACTGGTGCGCATATACTATAGACTGTCAACAGGACACACGTTTCCTTTAATTTTCATGCTTTCACCAAATCCAAATGTCTTCGGTTAGATTGTTCTAACGGAATCCTTACATGCATAATTTATTTATGGTTTCGTAGCCAAAAGCAAAACTTTTAATTCCCAGTTAAATATCCCAAGCCCCTCCTCTCGCAATGAGCAACAAACAAAGCATAATTTTAAACAAATTTTTACCAACTTGGAAGTAACTTTCTTCATGTTGTGTATTCTCCTTGTGCTGCTTCTTATTCTTATTGCTTTCTTTAGAATTGGTCACTTTATATTGTGAATTTCGACAAAATCGTCCTTCTTCACTTAATTTGCATATTTTTAGTAGTTGTCTTTTTATTCGTTTTTTTTTCTTTTGTTTTTTTTTTTTGTGTATAAATAATATTGTAAAAGTTGAGATTTCGTCTTTTTTTCCATTCTATTCTTGTTGTCTTTGCAATGTGCCATTGTGATCCCTTATCAGTAAGGGATTAAAAAGTGTTGTTCGAAAGCCCTTAAACAATCAAATGTATTTAAAAGTATTCTCGAAAATTTGCGTATCTTAAACCCATATCAATGCTAATTACGATGAGCTGAAAGCGTACCATTTGACTTAGAGTGATGTTAGTTTTTGTTGGAATTATTACTAAAATAGTTTATTTATACACAAATATAAGTTATAAATATAAGTAGAAGTTTTTAATAGAGCAACATTTTCTAATTATTTGTAATTAATTTATATTTTAATAATACTTATTTTTTAATACAAGGAATATTTCCAAAAAACCACTGATGATGGATATTTGACATTATTTGAAACACCTGTATGGTAGGTCAAAAATTGAATTAATTTATATACAATAAAAAATTTTGTTGTTCTTATTCACTACTACTGTAACTACCTCTCTATTAAAACAATAGTTTCTATTAAGAAACATGGTTTCTTTCAACATAATTGACTTTAAAAATAGAATTTAATTATTATTTTAAATGGTAAAATTAAATCAGTACATAAAAGAGACCGCACTTCATGGAAAAACAACAAAGTAGAATTTAAAGCGGGCTCAAAGTTTTGGTACCCTGATGGATCCAAATTAGAAAACGTCGGCGCTGGAGCGAGAATTGTAGGGCCAAATTTTCAGAAGCAGTAGAATGAGCCAAGTGGCTACCAGTTTTCAAGCAGAGGTCTACGCCCTAGACCTATGCTTTATAGATATCATACTTGAGAAAGACTCTCGATGCCATGATATGCATCTTCTGAGACATTCAAGCAGCTCTAAAATTATTAATGGCATTCTCATTCCAATCGAAGTGGGTTTGGAACTGTTCTAACTTTCTCAATATCCTAGCAACGGGAAATTTTGTGAGTCTGCTATGGATTCCGAGACATAAGAGGCACGAAGATAATGTAGTGGCGAATTTGGCCAAAAAGGGAGCAAAACCACCTTTTGTAGGTGTGGACCCCTTTTACGGCGTAAACAACAGCTACAAAGCTAGCTTAGTATTCCAAAACGAAAAACAAAACCTAACTGACTTCTGGAGAGGCCGCATACCTTATGCGGCAAACAAAACGATATATTATTCCTGAATATATTACGCCTGAAGCTGTTTTAAATTTTAGCAGAACAGATATTAAACTCAACACGGAGTTGCTAACAGGCCACTGTAGATTGTGGTACTACCTGAAAAATATTCTCCAAGTCAGAGTCACAGCATATTAGAAAGACATGTTATGAAATTTAGTCTACCTTATAATGACTTTTGCCGAGGTTGTGGCGAATGAGGAAAAGATTCTCATCTTTAGCTAAAAGAAGATCTAAAATCTTCGTTACTGTCAGTCTGCAAAGATAGAGACTTAGTCAAGTTTATGGAATTATCAGGTTTTTTGATTTTTACCTAATGGGGAAGTCGTGCCTTTCAGCGCTGAACTCTCTTCAATGCATGTACAAATGCCAATTCTGTGATACTACACTAAGCCATTATTTGAGCTTAAGTGAACTTTGGGCACAATGCAGTCAACCCAACCTAAACTAACCTAATGATTTACCAGATAATGCTGAGGAGATTTATTTCCATTATCTCTAGCAGGCCAATAAGCAAACAATCTCCAAGACTGTTGAATTTGCTTTGCCTGTATTTCTGGACAAAGATATAGAAAGTATTAGGCACTCTCAGCTAAAAAATAAGCTTGTAAAAGCCTAGAAATTTATCGCTGGGTTCTAAATTTTCTTCATTCTGGCAACTCATGCACGATGCAATTGCTGGATTAATTACTCGGCAATTACTCTTACTAAGTCATAGTTCTTCAAGTTCTTTTATGAAATTTTTTATAATATATGTAAAAACTATTT